CTCTCTCTACTTTCACCTTCAAATCGAAGGAAGGAAGAAAAAAAAACACGAATGACCTCTTGCACTCCTATCAATTCCAATCGATCACCGATACAGTCTATGTTCATTTCATTCGTGATGTTGTATGACGACGAAATCTACATGTGATTTTAATCGACTTATGTATCTACTCGATACAAATAATCTTGAAGAAGCTCGATTATTACTTAAACGAGAAACAATATTAAAACGAAATAATCTTTTGGATAAATTTGATAATGACAATAACACATTACTTCATCGGTATATACTTCGAAATCAAGCTGATGCTGTACATTTATTATTAGAATATGGTGCATCAATTTATTCGATTAATAAATATGGTTGGTTACCAATACATTTAGCTGCCTATTGTGGACATGATCAACTTATATTAAAATATCTTATTGAATTTGAAAAAAGGTAGTAGATGTTGTTGTTATTGTATTTACTTTTCATTTTTCGTGTTTAATAAAATATTTTAATCAAATTTATTTGTGTGATTTCGTTTTTGTTGTATCAGGCATCTGAAATATGTACAAATAAGTTAGACATCTGTTATATTAATTAGCAAGCATATCTAATGAATTCAATACATAATGTCTTAGTGGAACTTATGATATTATTAATTTAAAAATATAAGTGTAACTAATATGTTCATAGATAGCAAATAATTTTGTATTTATCTGTAGCGCTCGTCCGGGGACTCGCTTAGCTCTTTCTCGTAGAATTGTATCGTCTTCGCCGTGAAAAATCGGACTTCGATGTTTTTTTGACCTCTGCCCCTCCCTCAAATGGTCACCCAACACACATCAGATTCGAAATACCTCTACAAATGTCTTTTCCGAAAAATCGATTTTTTGATGTTTTTTTGACCCTGCGGACAGACAAGAAATCAGACAATTTATGTTTACTGGACTCCTCTCTACGAGAAAGAGAATTAGACAATAAAATTATGAAAAAGCTTAATAATAGTAAAATATCGAAATTTAGTTTCCTGATAGTTATGAAGAAAATTTCAATATATTTCTTACTTTTTTTATATAACCATGTTTGACTAGAATCATTCGACATGCATTATTAATATGTTTAAATCGATCATTTTGCAAAAGAATACCACCAAACCATCTTGAAACAACAACTAATACATTTCTGACATCAGCAATCTAAATTTTTTGTTTTTACAATGGAAATATAATCTTTCATTTGTTTTTTATAACTTACATCCATTAAATGGAGCATTCGACTAGATGCAGCTGTTTCTCCATCATCTTCACAATCTGCTAAAATAACATTACGTTTTTCATCCCAAATTCTACATATATATAAATAATTCTTATTTGAAAGAAAATGCAAATTCTCATACCTATATGCATACATATTATGTGTAGCATTTGCAATTTTTTTATTCTCTTTCAATTTATTAAGAACAAGTTGGACTTCTTCTTTACTATGTACTGGACTTAAATGAGCTTGAAAGACACTTTTTCGATCTTCAAATGAATCATCAGTATATATAGGTGGTACATCTATTTTATCCATTGATGATACATATTGATCAGCTAATTAGACAAAAACAAATGAAAATAATAGATAATTAAATTTCTATCATTTATTACCGATTGGTTCACTTGTATTAATATTATCAGCTGAATTAAAAGAAAATTATAAAATCATCTAAATTTATTTTAATTACTTTCAGTAGTAGTAGGTGATTTGTCAACAAAATCTCGAAGTGCATCAGCCCATAAAAATACTATTGGTTTACCAATATTATTTCTATGATAAAATTTACTTTTAAAAATAATTTGAATTTTCATTATCTTACAAATAAATATCTTCCAACATAGTCGTTAATTGTTGTCGTTCTTCACCTCTTAACCATGGGCCTCTGCATACAAACAAATGTTTTATAATGGCAAGATTATTCGCAAAAATTCTACCGAATATTATAAATCATTGGTTCATCTACTGGATAACCATCAACAAATGTTACTTCTAAACTAATTGCTCGTTCAGGTCGATGATCAACTGTTAATATATACGTTCTTTGACTATCATCGACATCACGTTTCCATTGTTTTTCATCGAAAATACTATTTAATGCTTCAATTTCATCAGCTTGGAGTTGAACCCATTCCTCAGACATCTTCCATAGAAAAAAAAATAATCATGAAAGAAAAAGAAAAGAAATAATCATGAAATAAAAGTAAAAAAAATTAATTTTGAAAATTTATTTAAGAAATTTTTTTATTATTTCAGCACAACATTGTTTATAAGCAGTAAATCGTCCTGCACCCATATGTATAGAATAATCACGATGCCAACGTGTAACAACTACCATTATATTATTCAGATTATTAAACTAAAAAAAAATAAATTCCTATGTTTTTCTTTTATAATATTTGAAAATTATCAAGACAAAAAGATTTAGTTGAGAATTATTACAACAGAAACTTACCACCAATGGTTCTAAAACCCATTCACCAGCTCGATTTTCACCATCATCATTACATTCGTTGATAATCTTACCAGTTTCTGTATTAACTCTAAATTAATTGTTTATATGAAATTAAATTATTTTACTTTTAAACAAATTATGATCTTCTTACCGATATGCATACACGTTATGTTTTGCAGTTGCAATTTTTTTATGTTTTTTCAATTCATCTAATACCATCTGAACCTAAATGTATTGATTACAGTTAAAGTATACATGCAGTTAGTTTCATACTTGACATTCATGTTCAATACGTGCACAATGTGCTTGAAAAACACTAGCACGATCTTCTTCATTTGGTTCATCAGTAAATATTTCTGGACAAGAATATTTTTCTAGAATATACTTCTTCTGACATTTTCTATAATGAATATTATTCATTTTTACCTTCTGGTGATAATTGTGGAACAGATAATCGTTTAGAATATTTAACATAATCTATTTCACAAGTATCATTTGATTTGTCTATAAAAAAAGGAAAGTCATTCATCTGCAAGAAAAGTATGATTATGATAAATAAACTACCTTTTGTTAAATTATCATGTTGTTCATCATTTAGAAAAACAATTTTTTCATCAAGAAAATCATAAATAGTCTGTGCTAAACGATATACTACAGGTTCATTATTATATTGTCTAGAGTCCATTAATATTTGCATTGTCAGAAAAGCAAATGAATCTTATATTCTACTTACTTGATAACATTCTCAAGTTCATTCATTAATTTTTGTCGTTTAGTTCCTTTAAGCCAAGGAGCAAAGATTGAATATTTAGGTGGATTATGTACAGGATAACCATCAATAAATGTTACCTTAATTTAACTATTCATTTTTAATGTGTATATTTTTTTCGAAAATAGATTTACTTGTAACTCAATACGTTGTTCAGAATTTCTTTCAAGAGCAAGTCGATATGTTTCACTATTTTCATCATATTTTGACCAAGCTGAACCGAATATCATTTCTAATGATTCAATTTCTTCTCTCTAGAATATATTATATTGATTTCTTATTGTTTATACATTTCTTTTATTTCTACCTGAAGTTCTTGACAGTTGATTAATGTAGTCATTAGATTTTATTTTTTTCTAAAATAATTAGATTCAGTATAAATTTCAAATCTTTTCATCTTTATTTAAATTAAACAAAAATAACAATAAAGAAAAAAACGTCTTTATTATAAGTCTACACGTAAAAGTTTGCTTGCTGGTGATACAATGTGACAAACAAATGATCGAGGCATTATTTTGTCCCAAAATAGATCCTAAAGAAAAATAAATATATTTGTATAATTTAATAAATAATAATTTACACTGGGTGGACATATTTTTCTTGCGAAAGATTCCATAAAATAAAAACATGTTTCAAGACCAATACCAATGAGAAGAAATAACCAAATCATTATATTGAAAACTGGACCAGGATTACGTGGGATCAAAAATAGAAAAGCCACTAAAATAAAAATATCAATGTCTATAAATACGATGTTATTTTATAGAAAACATATTAGTCGCTAATATAAATAAGTAAAGAAAGTTTACTAACTACTGAAGTCATAATACCGATATTTACCATTAAAGATATGTTTAGAATATTAGTAAAACTCTGTGCTAGAGAGCTACGAGTCCATATTTTTTGGACCGGGATCCGACCCAGACCCGGATTCGTTTTACCAATATATAGCACCCTCTGTGGGCAAGGTGGAGACGCGGGTCTACAGTTTTTTGAGCTCGGACCCAACCCAGATCCGAAAAAAAACAATTTATTAGACTCGTACCCGACCTACACCCGGGTCTAGGTCGACTCGCAGCTCCCTACAATGTGGAGTACTAGAAACGATATAATAACATATTACTGCATTTTTTTCTAATTATACTTAACATGATCATTGATTTCTGTCAATTAATTTTGTTGTTCTATACTTTATAGGACTAAATTTACTTACATCCAACTACTCCAAAGAGTATAAACATTACCGGATAAAAGAAACCAAGCGCAAAAAACATAACATATTCATGAAATACAGCTGATAAAAGTATAACACAAATTGAAGGAATTGCACGATTTTTTTTGCCCATTAACTATATTAAATATTCGAAATTTATACAAATAAAATATATAATCGTACCACATAAAGTTCTCTATAAACATATGCATGAAGCCAATCATGTACTACGATGTTCCATGTTCGATAATAATTTGCAAATGATGTTGAATTCCACCAATCCTAAATAATTTTAATAAAAAACTATTTTCAAGTCTAACTTTTCTTACTTGATAAAACATTCGATCAGCAAAACGAAGCATTTCTGCAAATGCATTAAGCCAACAATGTAAAAAACCATAAAAAACTATTTTATAAAATATATTCCTTTTCTATTTCCACTATTCATTTAATAATTAAACTAACTTAGTAAAAGAAAAAGACTTCCAGGCATAATTGAATTAAATAAGACAGATATAAATATTGGTAATGTTATTTCATTTTGACTTAAATCAGAAAATATTGGAAGACAAAAACGTTCCACAACATAGTAAGCATAAAATGCACTTGCTAATACTTGTCCAAACATTCGTAAAACATAATCCCAATGTATTGTTGTAGTACGTGGATATTCATCTTTATAAATTAATGTTGGTGCAAATAAAAAATATAAATATTTAGAATAGTCTGGACAAACAGATGCATTTTTGGATTCTAAAAATATAGAACAAGTAAATAGAGTTTTGTTTTTTAGTGATAAAATAGTTCTATTTTAAAGCAATATTCAGTCATGCATTTACATTTCAATATATTGTTAGAATAGTAGTAACAGCAAAATAAATCCAGTAAGTTTATTTAATTATTTATCTATTTCATCATAACAAACCGATTAATAAAAGATTTTTTCTAATATTTTCACGAACAAATGAATGAGCTTTCATCATTTGTCGCATCTAGAAATAAAACAAGATCAAGATTTTTATTTAATTATTATTATATTACTTGTTCCAATAAAACAATCAATGCAGAAGCAACTGGAAATTGATGTTTCTCAATTTGATAACAAGGTAAAACCAAAAATATTATTAAATAACTAATATATGAGAATAACCATGCCATATCATAAGCTTCTAAAAAACAAATACTAATATTAATAAATTCCATTTAACAATGGGGATGGATTATTCCCATATCGTCTAAGAAATACGTATTTTGTCATATAGTGGCGTAACCAGAAATTGGCGGATGGGTAGGCGCCGCCCTATCGATTTCCAAAATACTATATAATCTATATAGAAAAGTCGCTTTTTCAAAAACTACGTGTGAGCGAGTGAACAGGTCCGATGAGTCGGCGGTAGAGCCTATCGGGTCCGGGTCTCGAAGCTTTTTCTGATCGGGTCCGGATAAAAAGAAATATATTATCGACATGATATTTTTATACTGCTCGATGAACATGAGAATGCCATTTTGGATTTGAAAACTGGTTGATAGGTCTTCAGAAAACTAAATCAAAGACCTTTTTTTTTGCTCCTCAGGTTTGGTTTTTGGATAGTTAAGATTAAACAATTTTCTAAAGGTACAGTTCGAGTTCAGACTAGTGCTCGTCGAAATCGGGTCGGGTCCGGGTCCGGGTCCGAGCCCAAAAAAACGTGGACCCGATGGGCTCTAGTCGGCGGTGCCTACCCTGGTTACGCCACTATTGTCATAGTTTCTGATAATAAGATACTGAAACAATGAATTACGCATCGCTAGAATAATTGCTTATTAATCAAAACTTCTTAACTAAATACATATGGTTTGAATTTAGTTTAACGAATTTCTAACAAATACTATTATCGATGTTAAACTTAAATAGTGGTAGATATAAGATAAATATCACTACAACAATAATAGCAAGTGTACAACAATTTTCATTTCGGAACGTTGTTACTTCTGATAGTTTGAAATAACTTGTCTTACATTGGTATATTTTAAGTAAAAGTAACACAGGCATGAGAAAAATCTTATGCAATCATACAAAACCTTATTATATAGTCAGTAGTATAGAATTCATTCATTACGAATTTGACATTCTTCTCATGTCTTATACATTTGGACAATAATTTCAACTCAATGATTGTATAAAAACCTGAGATTCTTACTTAAATTTTTCTTGAAACTATTTCGACTGTTAGCCCACCAGTAAACTCCAAAAAACACAAGAATTGATGTAGCTAATTGCATGAGTAACCAGATAAAAAGTGCAATATGTAGTTTACCAAAACTTTCAAACATGACGTCGAAATCTAAATTTAGTCTAAAAAATTTAAAGTTTTTTTTTTGTTTAAAAGATCATTTCTTTATGTTCTACCTTCCATCATTTACAATACCTTCAATTGTATCGTGTAAAAATAATATAATTAATGTAGCCGCAAAAACATTTCTTAATGTTTGAATATGTGATATTTGAAATAGATCTGTTAAAACTGAATTTCGAGGTATAAAAATACGAGATTCTTTAATTTCACGTGTTGATTTTCTAAATAGAATATTCGAAAAAACAAATGAGCGAAATTTTTGTTTCAATACTAACTTCAGGAGTGGAATTTCTGATAATTTTGGTTGTCGTACTTGAAATTCATTGTTTAACGCAGTAAAATGTTCATTAAAATCACCTTCAATTCGATGTAATTCAGACACAAAATGTGATTGAATTTTCTAGAGAAAATAAATTTTAAGAAAAACTCTAAATCTATGTGTCATTTTATACATCAATTTCTTGCTTAACCCATAGGGAATCGCCATTCTTTGGAGTATCTATAAATAGAAGAATCGAATAGTAGAGAAATTTTGAGAATTTAAATAATGTACCTGCTTCCATATGATAGACTTTGAATTTAAAGGTCGTTTATCAGTAGTCAGCTACGATTGAATGAATAGTGTAACCAATAGAATACTTTATTTTTCTAATCGTTCTTGCAATCAAGTATAAAATTAATATCTTAAAATTTGTTTACTACTAATTATAAATCATATTTTACAGTCATACTAACCCTTTAGAATTAGTTTGTGTATATATTTTCATTAAAACTTAATCGTCGTTTATAGATAATAGAAGAATATTGAGTAAAAGAGAAAGTTATAATATATCAAACTAGCTTATGTAAAATATCCTAAAATAACATCAACCATAAGAAAAAATACGCACTGCGCGTACCTCGAACGAAGTTATAAATATCAAATAAGTACGATGAAGGTGGGTTAGATGGGAAAATGTATGACAAAAAACGTATAATATGATTTCGGTTGTATTTCTTATTTTTTGCTTTTCGATTCGATGAATACGAACATACCTTTCTATACAAAACTATATGATGAAAGATTGTTCAAGGTAATTTATGATTGGTGTAAAAGTATGTAAAACAAAAATCATTAATCTATTTTTACGTCTTTTTATTTGGATGAATAATCCTTAATACATGCGTGACAAGAAATACAACCTCTGTTGATTTACTTTAAATTTTTAGATGTGATAATCCCGATCTAGAAAAGATTATGTCATAATTTATTTGTACCAAATACGGAATGTTCTTCATCATTTGTTATTAGTACTTAGTGCTAAATTTGTATACCATAAAATTATGTCTCGTTTACTTTATCATATTCATCTATATATGATGATATAAATATAGATCATTTGGATCAAAGAAAAAACAAGATTATAAAATTTTTTCTTTATCTTGTTATTTACGGAGATCAAAATCAAAAACAAAAATTTTTTTTTCTTCCAAAATAAATATAAGAATTAAACGGTGAGAACAAGATATATATTTTTTTTATTAACTTGCTGTATCATCAGTTTCTAATAATTTATCATTGACAGTTCGTGTTCCACTAAAATCAATAAGTTCATTACTTATTTTTGATAAGTCACTAAATGATATTCGACCACGTTGACGAATTGCTTTTGTTACACGATCCATTTCATCACGTGTTAAATATATATATTTACCACGATCGTCAAATAAACCAGTTATAACGCCTGATTCTTCAAGATATTTTAATCGATCAATAACATCCTACAATAAATGAAACATTTCTTTGTATTATAATTGCATAACATACGCTAACAAGTACAATAGTGTAATCTATTCTTTATCGGATCACTAATTCCTTTTTACTACTCTTCTATTCTCTACTTTTATATGCCACAGGAAATCTTAGAACTAGGATAGGTTTGATTACATACAAACTTAAATACATCTTGATTCTGTCAAGAACCATTACTCTTAAAAATTAAAGAATTAACATTTGCATTGATGTTTATGAATAACTTAGTTCCACTACTAAGAACAACTTTAAAAGAAAACCCAAGGATATATAGATTTATTTTGTTCATATTTAATACAACAGCTACCCAGGCAGACATGATCTTTAAAAAAACGCATTCAAACAGCTTATACACAGCGTCTTAACGGTAGACCGTTGTAAAAACACCGTTTTTACGAATTCTTAACGCGTTTCTACGCAATTTTTCAGAAAGCGTTCTATTGCGTTAAAATTTACTCCGTAATTACTCGCTGAAACGCGAAATTTAACGTGGTTTTACACGTTATTTTGTGAGTTTTACCACGTTAATCACAATAGACAAAATTAACGAAGATAAAAATCGTGAAAATGTGCGCTTTTCCGGATTTTATTTTCGTTAAAATTTAAAAATTTCTACACGTATTTCTCCGTTTTTTTTAGTTTTGTCTGTCTGGGTAACAGGGAATAGTAACGATTACTTAGAGTGTGATATATTTTAAAACATGTGTCAAAATTTTTATCACAATTAAAATCTAATAGTAATCTATGAATCGTATTCGATTAACTTATTAAACCTTACAAAATCAGACTAGTCTTATCTAAAGTACGGCGGTTCCAAGAATTACCCGGAACCGGAACCACGGTTCCGGTTCGGTTTTTGGTTCAATTTTTTTGAAACCGCCGTACCCTAGTCTTATCGAGTTGAATTTAACACTGTGAAAGAGAATCATTTTTAACTTCAAAATCCCTAAATGTCACTAAGGGTAGGCAAAGTTGATCTTGTATATTCTGACACATAGTCTATTAGAAATCGCGAAAGTCATCTATGTCTAGAATCATTCATTCTAACTAATACTGAAAAGACGAAGGAAAGTTTGTTTTTTGTTGTTTCTAGATATTGAAATTATCATCTTCAAGCAAATGAAACTCGAAAAATTTATTATACCTGAGTTCGTAGTTTAAATTGTGCAGCTAATTCATCAAGATACATAAATTTAGCCGTTTTAATATATTCAACGAATTGATTCAATACTGATTCATTCTAAATAGAAAGATTTTGAAAAATATATATTAAATTTAAAATGATATATTTCTATACATCAGCATCATCTGGATTTTGATCATGACCTTCTTCTTCAATAGTGAATGCTTTTTTTAATTCAAGATATTCTTCATATTCTTTTCGTTCACGTTCTTCTTTTTTTCGTCGTTCTTCTTCTTCCTAAAATCAAATTATTCATTATGATAAATAATTATTTTATTAATTCTTACTTGTTCTTTTTCACGTTGTTCTTCTTCTAATTCTTTATTTCGTCGTTCTTCAGCAAATTTATCATCTCGTTCTTTTCTTTCTTTACGTTCAACTAATTCTTGCTAAAAATATTTTGAAAATAAAATTAAATATTTGATCATATTCGATTTATTTACTTCACGTTGTTGTCTTTTTTCAGCTTTTGCTTCTAATTTTAATCGTTTTTTTGTGCCCATCTTAGAATCGATTTCTACTGTATCATCCATTGTTGTTGGATCAAATTCCTCTAAGAAAATTTTTGATTAAAAATTCGATCATTAAAGATTTTGAAATATATACCTGGATCGTCATTATTATCATTTTGTGCACCAGCATCATATCTATGTGCTGGATCGAATCTACGGCGACGAATTTGTGCAGCTCTTGGTCGAGCATCATCAACAGGACCTAATCGTCGTTGAACAGGAGCAGGTTCACGCTCTTCATTTTGTCCTAGGTTTTGAATAGTTCAATATTTAAATAATAATAGTCGATCAAATAATACCTGATTGACGTTTTTTAGCCCAAAATAAAGCTCCAAGAAAGATAAAAAGAAGTGTAATAGCAAGGATTAAAATAACATCCATTTTTATTAAGAAATATATAAATGAAATAGACGTATTAGTAAGTGATATAATAATATATATGAAGAAAAAATTTGATTGATGAAAATATTTAACCAATGACAATAGAGAACGACTATCATTGGAAAATTGCCACATGACGAAAGTCAAACGTCAACGTCGACAATAACGGTGACTGATAAAAAAGAAACTGGTTTTTAAAAAACAATTCCGAACTAAATAATTTTTTTTCTAGAGTACCAACGTGTGTAATTTAACTATAATTAGTTATATACTATTCTGAATCATGCGGAAAACTATAACCTCATGTTTAGATGCTATTGATTTGTGTTACAATTGAGTAAATGTTCGGATAATACATAACTGATTCAACTATTCATATAATAAAAAGTTGCCTTTCTTTTTCTTTAAACTACAAATCTATTCCACTAAACAGTTGTTTTCATTTTATTAAGATCAAGTCAAAAAAGGAAATGTAGATACATAAAAAAATCTAATATAAATCGATATTATTTTCTTATAATTTCGGATGATTTTTTTTCATCATCGATCTTTTTCTTTGGTTTCATATTTTTAAATTCCTTTATTATTTCTGTTGATGATCGTGTATCAGCTTTTAATATACACTCCATTTGTTTTAATGCTTGATCATTTTCCTTTAAATAATAAAACTTTAGAAGAAAAAAAATTATTCAACAAAATTTTTATTTACTTTTCTTGTATTCGAACCAATACAATCTTTTGGAATTATTAATTTAAAATTTCTCATATAAGCATCATTAGCTGTAAATAAAACACAACAATTTCCAGCTAAACCAGTAAGTATTAAAGTTTTAATGCCTAGCTGATTAAGTAATATATCAAGTGGTGTACAATAAAATCCTGAATGTTTTGGTTTAAGAATAAAATCTAAAGAAATTTAATATTTAGAAAATTAAAATTCGAATCATTTTTTTTCAAACATACAATCTTCATCATTTGGTAATAATAATTCTGCTAGATGTTTTCCTAAGAAATAAAAGAAAATGAAATAAACAAAATTTAATAAATTTCATACCACGTGTATTTTCTTTGATAACATAGTCAGTCACAGTATGAAAATCTGATCTCCATTTACCAAAATTATCATTAACATAAATTACTGGTATACCAGCTTTATATGCTGCTTCTTTTAAAGAAGCAATATGTTTACCCATTTCATCAATTGTTTCTAATAATTCTTAAAAGAAAAATATAAATTTTTTGTTCGAAAAAAATATTTATTTTTATCTATTAAACCTTCATTGTCTTCGAATTCGAAATGGTTAATAATATCGATGAGAAGTAGAGCAGTATTCTGGTTGTTCGCAACCCTGTCATGAGGATCAGTAGATTCTGAAGGCATTAGTATATTGTAAATAAATAACGATTAAACTGAATAATTACCTGTTTGTACTCATTTATTTATATCGTAGGCGTTTTTCTCTACAATCGTTCGCGTGGTATAATAACATGACGTATATTACAACGATAGAGAAGGGCGTCTGTTGGCTTTCAGTAAATAAATTGTGATGCGAAAAAAAGATAATTATAGAATACGGATACGCAATTTTTGGATACCATACTTGCAAATTCGGAACCTTTGTGAATAGTCTCTGCTAGAAAATTAATGATTTGAATATCGCTTAGGTAAAGTCAATAGAACGTGATGTTTTGTTATTATCCTATTTTACCTGATTCGCTCTATTGAATTGCATTGATTTCATCATCATTAGAGATTTTGTCAAATATCAAAATTTAGTAAACTATTTAAATTATGTATGATATATGTAAATAAATTAACATATGAAATAAAGATCAAAAATAGCCAATTACATTTACCGCTCAGTACAAAAATTCAATGTTCTTTGGATTCTCTTAAGATTTTTTGTGCGCGGTTATTGTGGATTTATACTTACCAGACTGTCTACTAAAATTATTGATGCATTTTATTCATTTTTCTATTTTATCGTTGTACAATGATAGCCTGATGTAGTAAAGACTGATAGTCTAAAATCACATCATATTTCTGTATTACATTATTGAACAATGGGAATTCATTCTGCCAGCAAAATCTTCTAATATACAAGAATAACATTGCTATAATTAACATAAAATTCAGCTGAAATAAAGAGGCAGTAGTGGAAGGGTTTATTGAAAAATGACGAAAACAGTATGAATTCACTATTGCCATCAGCAAAACCGGTTAGTATTTGTATACAATTGGATATTATTATTGAAAAAATTATAATAAGTTTGATTAAAAACATATATTTCTCGGTTAGTAAATGAAAAGGAAAATAAATCAAATATTAAATATGATATTCTAAGACTATACATTAGTAATTACTAAATAAGAGAAATTGTTTTTGAAAACAGTTGAATTAGAGTTTGTCACCGGCTAAAGATTTATTCCAATTCTTTTTTGTAAACCACTGTATATTATTGTTAATTTTTTTTCTCCATTTGTTCGACACGTCGAAGGGATTTATCGTGTAAATTCGTTAATAATACTAACGAAAGAATTGAACCAATTAAACAACAAAACATATCACTTTGTGTATCCCAAATATATCCTTGTGTACCAAGAAAAGCATCAGCTGATTCACCAGTTAATTCTGCAACAGCCCATTCAATTAATTCATATATAGCCGAGTAACTTAATGTTACTGATACACATATATATGGTAACCAATATTTACTAATATTTGGTGATAAAATTCGTAATCTTATAATTATTTCACGTACAATAAGTACAGGTATAAAACCTTGAGCAAAATGACCAACTTTATCATAATTATTTCGTTTCATATGAAATATCTCTCGAAGTTTATGAAAAAGTGGTACTTCAGCATAAGTATAATGTGCACCTACAGTTAAAATAAGACAATGAATAAAAACAAGTATCGTAACGAGATTTGTAAAACGGAAATTTGGTGATACAAGAATCATTACAAAAATACCAACAATTGCTGGTAAAACTTCCAGAAGCCATACAAAAGAATCATATGGTTTAATCGCTGATCGTACTAAAATAACAGAGAATATCAATAAAAGAGTCAGTGCAAGACGACGTGACGCAGGTGGTAACCAATTCATTTCAATGTATCTTGAAACATATAATAAATAAAATAAAGATTTTTGTTTTTTCAAATGATGTTAAATTAAAATAAATATATGTATATATTTATGTATAGAAATTTTAAATGAGAATGATGTTGATGATTGTGATTGAACAATATGTAATGAAGTAAAAAACAACAAAAAAGCGAACATCTACATATGTCTGATGTCCTCAAGAAGAAAAAAAACGAAGAAAAAAAAATATACATAAAGAACAACGAAAAACATAAATATAGTATAGATTCACTGTGAGATGTACTGTTAACAGATACATATACACAGAGAATTTGTTTCAAAACAAAAAGAGAACACGTATTATTTGATCGTATCACTGTTTTTATACACTCACAAAAAATAAAAAGAAAGATAATATAAATCACTGTTCTTTTTGTATATATAATATTTCCTTTTCTCTATCTCAATGTTAACATGATAAATTATTTTCAAAAACAAAAATTAAAACAAAAAGAGAAAATAAATAGAATTTCTATGACCAATGTTGAGGTAAATGAGTTAGTTGTTGAAATTGATGTTGTTGTTGTTGTTGTTGTTGACGTTCAGATGAATCTTGAGATGAACTATCTTCACCATCATTTTGTCCATTATTATCCATAGTTGTCAATAAATTATTTGTTATAATCGATAATGTATTTAATTGTTGTGATGTTTTCGGTAGTGAATGTTGAATAAGATTTGTATTTCGTAATTTTTGATGTACTTTTCCATGACGTTTACGTTCATCAGATCGAGCAAAACGACGACCACATGTTTCACATAGAAATGGTTTTTCTATTCAAATAAATAAATTTAAATTATATTGTTGCTTTTCTTTTTGTTATCTTACCTCCAGTATGTGTTCGAATATGTGTTGTTAAATGATCAGATCTTGAAAATGCTCGAGCACATATTTTACATTGAAATGGTTTATCACCAGTATGTATTCGAATATGTCTAGAAGAGAATAACAAAAAATTAGCAAAAATAATATTTCTTTTTCTTTTTTATACCTTGTTAATTCATCTGATCGAGAAAATCTTCTTGGACAATGTTCAAGAGGACAGGAAAATGGTCGTTCATGTAATGGAGTTTTTGATGGTCTATTTGAATAATTTCTTGGTTTAGTAAATTGTGTTGTTTGATCATTAGCAACTGTCATTGGATAATCTTGTGGTTCATTTTTAATAGAAGATGAAGATGATGATGATAATGGTTGTAAAGCAAAATTATTTACTGTTGTATTTGCCGTCCAATCTGCATTATTCATATTGATTGTTGGCATAAAATTATTTGATGGTGTTCCAGATTTAACAATAGAATCATGATAAGATGAAGATATTGATTGAGAAACAGATGTTTGTGGTGTTCCATATGAAACATAATGAGATTGATCAATATAATTCATTCTTGATTCATTTGTTGTTGATGATGATGATGATGTTGGTACTGATGTTGATGTTGTACTATCTGGTGTACTGATATTATAATCAGCAACAACTGGATTTGATGTTAATAATGTATGAATTTGTTCATTTACATTTAGTGTATTTAAAACAGTGTTATTGTTGTTGTTATTATTAGTACTATTTCCATCATCTATATTCGAATTGTCAATCGGAGAGTTTGTCGATGATGAACGAGATGGTGATGTTGTTGTATGTGAAATAGGATTTGTTATTTGTAAATTTAATGCATAAGGTTTATTATCATTAATTAAACTACGTGGTAATTGCATTTTTCTATCGTCATCGATATTCGACGATGATGATGTTGTTGTTGATGCATCGACAATATCTGTGGTTGTTGTTGTTGAATTGTTATTAACAACAATTGAAGGTACACATGATGATGATGATGATAATACTGATGGTGGCGGTGGTGGAGGTGGTGGTAGTGAGGGTGTTAATGAATGAGAAACGATTTGTACAGATGAAGATTGTGGCTCTAAATATATATATATATAGATATATAGATAATAACAATGGTGATTTTTCGTCTTTCTTTTTCTTATTATCAACTATTACGTCTAATATTAATCGAATAACATTAATTATAATAACCGCATAGACATACGAACTGTTTTCATTCTACTAAAATTTCGTGTCAATATAAAAACAGCCATTTACAATTCTTTCTTTCTTTCGTCAATATGGATTAGATACACTTGATTATAACAATAGTTCAATGAGGACAGAAAAAACAACAACTATAAAGTTCGAAATTTTTTATTTAAAACAAAAGAAAAACACAATTTTCAAGATAATCATCATCATTATCCTCAAATAAAGACATATGAGTAAATATTAACAATAAATGCAAACTAATTATTATTGAATAACAAATATAATATATATTACTTACATCAAAACTTAAAAGATAATAACTAACTGAGCTAGTATCATTACTAGTCGGGTGATGTATTGTTAAATTATTATCTTTGTCAAGGTTTGTCTTTTTTTTATATCCCTCGTGTCTGATATAACAAAAATAGATAGAAATTATGCCTAGATATAGATAATCATTACCTCTATTTGTTTTTTGTTTTATTTAGATGATATATAAATTCCAAAAAGAAACAAGCCAAAATAGAAGATATATGATAGTAACAAATCTTTCTCGAATTTCGATGAGTGACAGGTATCTGATTGAGAAACTAACTTTCTTCTTCTTCCGCAAAATATATATATATATATGTCTATATGTATACATATACATATATATATATGGGATAATACAAATAAGGATGAATGGTCTTGATGAAATCATACGAGAATATGTACAAATAGAAGACGAAGAAGATAGAAAAGCCTTGAGCATGACAGACACACATATACACACTTGACGACTAGTAGTTCGTATAATGGAATGATAGTTATAACTTAGATAACATAAATTAGCCATAACGACATTTGACATTTTCTTACGACAACTATCGTTTGACTGTCTTAACAATTATTATACAGTTGATAACACTATCAGTCAACAGTTGACATCCAACTTGTCTGACCGTTAAGTGCGGATAAAAGCATCATATACGAAATAGTTAAATGTATATATATATTTTGTTTTCACTATCTAACCTTAAAACTACTACTATGAATAAAAGACCTAAGGTAGATTACCTTCATGTGTTTACAAATGACATTATCTTAAATCATTCTTTTTATATATATTTCAAGAATATCTAACATTTTTTTTTTGTATGATAAACTAAGTCGGAATGGTAGAGGCGTATGAAGAACTATTTATACATAAAAAAATTTTCAAACTTGTCGATGTTTATAAATTATATGAATAATTCATTTATCTTACCCGATAATGATGTTGTATGCATAGAAGTTGGAATTTCATAAAAAAATGTTGAATTTTTTGTACAAGTATTTGGTGTATTAAGTACACATGGTGTTGTTGGTTCTTGTGATAAACTTGGATTTAATAGAAGCATTTTTTCTGTATGAACAGATGATGATGATGATGATGATGTATGTTCATCAGAATTCGTTGTACTTGCTTTTGTTAAATGAGGATGATGATGATTCATTCTTCTGACAAACGCAAGCATCACTATTTGCTAGTTAAGATCAATAATAACACACACAGAAATGTGTTTATATATTTGCGTTTATACAATATATAATATTACCTAAATTGCATTTAATGAGTATTTTATTCACGTTAATCGATAAAAAGACAAAAAAAGAAACGATGATAAAGGTAACGATTGACTTTGAAATAAAGCTAGAAATACGTCAATCAACCTTGTATCGAAAGACAAATAATACGTAGGTGGATTCAATTCAATATTATATAAATGTACAAAATATGTCGCGTGTATTGCAGTCAAGTAATGAATAAACAACCTGGTTAATAAATATAAATAAATCTAAATTAGAAAAAGAAAATACGTCAGGATATGAATGACAAGGAGTGGGATATATATTTAAAAATAACAAAATAATATGAGCCCTATATCAATGATAATAATCTCAAAAATACTGGAAAGTTTTTTTTTCTATCTCAAAAAAACAATCTTTGATTTTTTTTTTCTTCTCTTCTGTACATGTTATAGAAGCAGAAAAACGATCGGAGCATTCAACCGATCAGTACATGATATCTCAGGTGTACAATTGTTTAAAAATTAGTATATCAAATAATGATGTGACAAAAATTTTTAAAAAAACAGGAAATTACATAGAAAAATAAATTAGTCATAAATGAAATTCTTCTATATTATTAGTAATTTCTAGAAATTAAAAGAATATAATAAAAAAAAAAGAGAGAGAGAAAAATGAAATGACCTTGACATTTACTTTAACTGTTGTTACAATCTGTCATCATCGATTTTTGTTAATATATATATATATATATATATACATATGTATTTGATTTAAAAAGAGAGAAAAAGAAAAAAAAAAGAAAAGTTAAACTATTTTTATTATAAGAATAAAAAAAAAAGAACGAAATCAATATGACACGCAAACGAACAGCGTACATAAAGAAAAAACCTTTATTCTTATTGTAAACTGGTCTTTATCGTCGTCGATGGCGACGACGTTCGTTCTTCCCGATATTTTTCTGCAACAACAGTATAGACAAAGACAGCAGAAGAAGAAAAAAATGCGTTCGTCTCTTTTTCTACGTCCGTTATACGACTAAATAGAAAAGAAGAAAAAAAAAAGAAACGATTGTAAGAGAAACAATCATCAACGTAGATAATACAAGTGATCAAACAAAAAACCCAAGTAGAAAAAGTACATGAGAAAAGCTAATTATCATAATATTTTTTTTCTTTTTTGTCTACACACATACATTTTGCAGTCATCATATAAACCAGATGTTCGTCTGTTTTTTGAAAGGAAAAAAAATATATCTCCAGAACACTCTAATAAATATATCCTCTTTAAAAAAATGAAATATGATAAGAAGAAAAAAAAAGAAAACATTCACGGAAACAACCTTCATTTATTTTTCTCGAATAGATATAATAACCTTCATTTATGCATTACACATCAATTCAGTCGGTTGATCAAATACTATAAAGCAAAAACCTTTTCCCGTTCCTATTTCTCAGAACTGAAAAAATATGAAGCAACTTATCTGTTATTGGAAATAATAATAAACTAATCAAATATTTTTCTTACAACATCTGACATCTATCGACAAACACGCGCCATTCGCACATTTCTTTAGCCTTTTTATTTATTATTCTTCGATTCATTATACATACATGTCTAAACTGACGAATTCATTTATTTCAATCGTCTGAATTACATATATTATCTTCTCTCTTAACACATATTGACGTTCATTCAAACAAATAGTATTGTGCAATTTTTTTTTGTTTAATCAATGTCACACACAACAAGCGCGGCATCTAATTCCGCCTTCTTTTCAGGTTATTTCAATACCAATGGTAACAATCAATCGCCAGTACCTCTCATGAGTACAATGACATTACCTCCACCCCCACCATCAGATTCTGTACAACCGCCACTACCACCTCCTCCTCCTCCACTACCAAATTCCGTAAGATTATTTTTTTTTGCTTAGAATAAAACAAAAAATAATCTTTCTTTTCTTTTAGAATACTGATTTATCTCTTCCACCACCTCCTGTTTCAACATTACCAAAATTTGATATGAGTGTTCCACCTCCACCTGTACCCACTCAAGATATGTATCAAGATTGGGCATTACAATGGACATTATTTCAACAGGTACAACAAGCACAACAAGTTGCTGCTTATCAAAATCAACTTTATCAATCATTTAGTAATCAACAACAACAACCAACTCCAGCTCCTGTACCACCACCGGTAAATAATTCTTCGAATGGTTATAATTCTCAACAACAAAATATGAATACAACACCATCGAATTGGCAAACACCAAGTAAGAAGAATGTACATCATAGAACATTTTTTGTTTACATTATATATTATTATTTTAGCTTCATCTCCAAAATTTCGACCGAGACAAGTTCAACAATCATATCGAGCTCGATTTCCAGCAAATAATAATAATAATCAACAATATCCATCGTATAATAATGTTCCACCACCATCATCAAATAATGTTCAAACAAGACCACAACAATCAAGCATACGATTTAATCTAAATACTCGTCCTCAAACACCAGCAAATAAATCAGGAAGACGTACTCGTTTTTCTTCACCACCTAAACAACAAATGTCATCATTACCTTCATATCCGACACCAATGGCGACTCCACCGGAAAATCGTCATGATGATACAATGATGGATACAACAAATGGTAATGAACCACGAACAGTTATGAGTGCTGTCCAAGCATTTAAATTAGCCTGTGATAGACAAAAATGGCCTGATACGTTAAAGTAATTTTACTAAAAATTAAATATAGGATTTTTTTTTAAAATCTGATAAATTTATAGGATATATTGGCAATCAATTGAAACTTATTGTAAAACAAATTTATTACGTTCTCAAGCTGAAGAATGGTTTCAAGGTGTTCTTGTTGATGCATTTCAAAAGAATCTTGTTACAACTATCGATTGGTTACATAAACCAATACCTGAGTAAGTGACAGTTTTTTATTAATGTTTTCGTCTATAAATATTTGTTGATGTAGATTTCTTCTTCGTCCTGAATTATCATCGAATGTACGTTCCAATACGTTTGATTCAACCAATTCAAGTTTACTTCAACTAGCTAAATCTGCATATAGTGAAAATAAACAACGTGAAGATTTAATTCGTTTAAATAAACTTCGAACAGTAACATCGGAATCAGTTCAACGTGCTTTTGGAAATAATGATGATGATGATGACGATGATGAAACAACATCATCACGTAAACGTTCATCCTCATCTTCATCCTCATCATCGTCATCATCATCTTCGACAAGTGATAAAGATTCAAATAGTCGACAAAAGTAAAACATTCAACAATAGAACAACAAATAATCTCATTTCTTATAATTTATTAGAAATGTAGCAAGTTCACAATTATTTCCTACCGGTCGTAAACGTTCGAGAAAACCTCGTCGAGCAAAAAAACCCAACAAAAAAGTTCAATTAGAAGAGTAAATTAAATTTTTACATGAAGAATATAAAATTACATTTCTTTTTTTCTATAGAAATAAACCTGTTAATTCTGCACAATTAGAAAAACGTCGGAATCGATTTATCAATGAACCAACATCAACAGTCATCAAACCAGTAAATTCTATTTTTGCATTGATTTTCTTCATATTAAAATCATTTATATTATCTATAGATTCAAGCACCTGGTACATCAAATACAGTAAGTGAAAATAGCAAAGCCTTGGTTGGCACATGTCAAAAATTAGAAAAGAATTATTTACGTTTAACAAGTGTAAGTTCATTTAAGATTGTTGTAGATATATATCGTAAAATCAAATTTTTAGGAAGCTGATCCATTAACAATTCGTCCATTATCCGTTCTTGAACGTGCGTTTTCTTTTGTTATGAATAAATATAGATTGAGTAAAGAATGGTCATATATAAGTGATCAATTAAGAAGTATTCGACAAGATCTTATGGTACAATCAATACGTAATAATTTTACTGTATTAGTTTATGAAGAAAATGCTCGTATAGCACTTGAAATAGTAAGAATTATGAAATTTGTCGTTTTTTTTGATAATTTTTTGTTTTTCTTTAGGGTGATCGTGAACAGTTTAATCAATGTCAAACACAATTAGAAACATTGTATGATAGTGGTTGTAGTCGTACACATTTAAATGAATTTCTTATTTATCGTTTGCTCTACTCGTTGCTGCTAAATGATTATAAAAGTATGAATCAAAAAAAAAGAAGAAGATTTATAATAATATATTGTTTTCTAGAAACAAATCGAATTTTAATTGATATTGATGCAGTGAAAACTATAGCAGCAGCAAACGGGAAGAGCAAAGCAAAAGATATTGAACATCTTGATCTTGCTCTAGATCTTTGCACGGCAATTCGCCGAAAAAATTACATTCGTTTCTTCATTATATATAGGTCCCTACCCCAACGCGCTTCTTGTTTAGTTAATCTTTTTATTGATATTTATCGGAAACAAGTGCTCAAAGCTTTAATATGGGGGTATGTTATTAGAATGAATATAGATAATAGATATTTTATTTTGTATTATTTAAGGTTTGCTCCAACACTTCCAATTGAATCTGTTACTCAGATGTTGGCTTATGAGTCCAGTGATATTTGTCACAAACATCTAAGTACATTGGGTTTTACATTGATTGATGAGCCATCATTAGGTGCTTCTATTGATTGCAAAGCAAGTCGGGCCATTTTTGAAAAAAAATAATGATGATGATGATGATCAGGTGGATGGACATTTAATTATAGAAGAAAACCAAAAAAAAATGAGGATAAGAAGTTACTAAGAAAAAAAGAATGAAATTTTTCAAAAAAAAAAAAACGAAATCTGCTCCCCTTGAATGAAGATTATTTCAGTATTTTGTCATGATCCATTTCACTTATTCGTCATCATCATAAATATTTCTTTATTTTGTGTGTACGTATGTGTGTATACAATTGCTCGACAAAGCCTAACAGCATTTTGAAAAATTATCATAAAGCTGTCTTTAATTCTATTGTATGCATTACAGTCAGATATACGCATATATATATATACATATACATATATATTTCATTCTGTTTTCGTTTCTTTTCTATTCTGTAATTGATATTCACCTTTATTTAAAAAAAAAAAAGAAAAAAAAATTTCTTTCATTTTCGTTATTGACAAATAGTAGAGAAATTTTTCTTTCTTTCTCCTTTCATTTTTTTTGTCTGTAATAGATTTCTGTTGCTTTTTTATCCTATGTGATTTTCTTTATGCTGTGTTTGTACGTTCATTTTTCTTTTCTTTCATCGGGTGGTTTATTAAGCGAAAAAAAAGTTCACTCTAACACAAGCAACACAAATCAAGATCAATTGATGATATGTTAGAAGAAGAAAAAAAAACCTCTCCTTCATCATTGGTCTTGTCTTCATCTCAATGAACGTGTGTTTATATACATATATATATTCTAAAAAGAAAGTTAATAAAAAAAAAAAACATAAACATTTTTCATTATTACTGAATCTATAAAAGTTTTCAATCCGGAGCGTAAAGAAAACATGTTGTTTATCTTGACATTAAATGCTAAAACTTCATGATATACAATATATATATATCAGATACAAGTTAATTTGATAGCCTGTTTATGTTAATACTAATAACAGAATTTTGTTCTATTAACATTCCAACAACTTCATTGATATTACATATCTAACATAGAACAACATTTATGTCCTGGTATTAACTACTAATGTAAAAAATAAATCATATTTTAATATCATAAAATCACGATTAAAAGGTCAAAGATATATATTACACGTAAAACATAAATACTCTGGTGTTATTTGAGCGAGAGATTAATACCTTGAACTTGTCTGATTTGGTAAGAATTCTAAAATAAGTTCTATGAAATGGATGCCTTTTATGAATACAAATATTTACTAGAATAAAAATCTTAAGGTAGAAGTATTTCACTGGATTCTGTTTTGCTTATTATCTAAACATTTTATTTAACAACCCATTGTATATCTTTCAATCGATATTTGGGATGCAAAACTTGTTACTTTTAACCTATGATTCATTTCGATGGTCCTTATTTGTATGAATAGACTGTTATTACTTTATACATTTGCCTTTGCACTTTATGTGTGATCATACAAGAGAAAAAAACCAATTTTATTATTAGGAATAAAACAAATCATGCAAATGCAGAGTAATAATTTTTGATATATAAAAGTACATGGTCATATATATATATATATATATGTATTAAGATCAGCGCTCACATAGTGAGAGCAAGGAGAAAAAAACCGAACAGAAAATTAATAAGGATTGATGTACAGAATGCCGGAAGCACGGAAGAGAGGGGGAGAAAAAGAGAGGGAAAAAGAGAAAAATTTGGCCAATCATGAATATTATTTGTATAAACTATAACGTAACTATACACATATTGCAATCATTTATATGTGCGCATAAGTATTCAGACACACGACATTCATATATTTCTACGAGAGACGCAATGGCAATGATTAAATTGATCGTGCTTCTTTTGATTATCTCTTCGACTTGTAAGTTATAAGGCTTTATTCTTAATATTTATAGTAAAAAGAATATTAAATTTTTGAATAGTTGTTGATGCTCGAGCTCGTCGTAAACGACGTCAATTATCATCAAGTTATTATGGTCAAAGTGGATATCCATACTCAAATACCTATGGTGGTGGATTAGGAACGTATGGTACTGCTGGATCGTATGGTACAGCTGGAGGGTATGGTACGGCTGGAGGGTATGGTAGTGTTGGATCATATCCTTACAATAGTTATGGTTCAAACTCCTATAGTGGAAGCCAATACGGTTCTAGCGCCATAGGCCAGTATGGTTCAGGTATAGGGCAGTATGGTGGTTCATATCCGTATAGTAGTGGCGGCTTGTATGGTCAGACGGGACAAGGATATCCATACAATCAGTATAATAATAGTAAGTGATTTAATTATTCTATATTTGTTTCAGTCAAAAAAAACAATGTGACCTATTTGTTTAGTGTATGGTTCTAATACTCAATATCCATATGGATCAAACAACAACTACCAGTATCCTAATACTGGTGTAAGTGGCTATAATACTGGTATCGGTGGTTATAATACTGGTGTTGGTGGCTATAATACTGGTGTCGGTGGCTATAATACTGGCGTCGGTGGCTATAATACTGGACAATATGGAGCGTATGGAAGTAGTTTATATGGATATGGAAATACAGGCCTAGGAACTAATACATACGGTTCTTATGGTCAGAGTAATTATATTTTATATATATATAGCAAAAAACTAGTGCTCTGTTGAATATAGGTAATCCTTGGTATCGAACATCACGAAGCGGTGATAACATACAAGGACGATCGGGTGGTGCTCCCAACAGCAAACCAGATGGTAATTCTGCTGGTGCTAATCCGCCTACGTCCGTCGACCAGTCAGCAAAGAATGGCCCAACGGGCAAGTGAGATGAAATTCAATAGCATATCAATATAACACTTGCATACAATACATTGACCTTCACATTCATGGACTTATTCTATTTGTATTTACAAAAGTTTATTTCATTCAACTAATACTATTAACAGAAAAAAAAGAGATTGTTATCTATTTGCTTATCAAATTGTAAAAGTTGCTTCTTTTTTTTTGTGTTCTTTTTTTTTAATTAAATTCAAGCTATTTGAATACCAACAAACTTGTTTTATGTACTAACAAAAACTATAGGTAGACAGATGGAAAATTGTTGATAAAATTTTATATTTTATTGTCTATCAAATATCGTAAAAGAGAGTTCTGATAAACAATGTTTTTTTTATGATTACTAATTCGAGACTATATATATATTTTCATTATCAATAGAAGGAGAACGATTTCTCTCTCTCATCTCTCTAGAACAGTTATCGCCGGAGTAAATTTAGTGATTCAATACAATCGAATTCTGTTCTCTTGCGTCGATTGCGAGACAAAGTACAAAAAAATTCCATTGAATGTAGAAAAAGAGAGTAAATCGAATGGGACGAAGGCAACTGTAGAGACAAACAGAGCCGACATGATTATGTTTATTACTGTGATTGCTCGTTCTTTGCTTATGCCCATTTAGACATATACAAAAGAAAGAAATAGAGAGCGAGAGAGAGAGATTGTCGATAGTTGATAGAAGGCATAGGGTATATGTACTAACTATGTACAGAACAAGAAAAGAAAGAGAAAGAAAAAAGAAAGGTTGCTTTACCTATGTTTCACGTCTGAGTATAAGAGAGAAAAATTTTCGTTCAACATCGAGTAGTGTCACCTGAAAGGGAGCAAGAAGAAGAAAAAAAAAGTCTAGGCTACCGTCTAGCTGACCTCTCTCATTGTGTATGTAAGCAGTGTCACCTCATCATTGGCGTTCATTTAGACCTAGAATCAGTCACAACCTATAGATTTTCTCAATAAATAATACTTATCATCACCGTCATTGACGATAATAAATATATATATATACAATGTCTTGGATTCATGTAATCATCGTCTCAATTTTTCTACAAACATTACTTATCACTAGTAAGTGTCTATCTTATCTAACTAATTCAATTTCTTTTTGTCTGGAGAAAAACATAACAGATGTTTTTGTTTGAGATAATCAAAGAATATCTATTTTCATTTCTAGGTATCAATGGAAATGCTATTCGTCGACGACGTCAACAATCATCTGCATCATTATATGGAAATCAAAATCAAGCAGGTAATATACCTGCAGGATATAATTATGGATCAAATACGAATTTATATGGTAACAACTTGAATAATCAAAATCAGAAGGATTTATATGGGAATCCGGTTGTACCATCGAATACTGGTAATACTATGAATAATGTTGGTTTAAATAATCAACAACAGCAACAACAACAACAACAGCAGCAGCAGCAACAGATATATGGAACAAATGGTCAACCAATATCAAATCCATCATATGGTGCAAATGGTTTTTATCAGAGTAGTGGAACAAATCAACTTTTACGTGATACAAATGTTAACATGGGAATGCGAGATAGTAGTGGTAATCTTATACCATCAGGTAAATATATGAAATAAATTTTTTATTTAATATTATATATGTATATTTAAATAATCAGCTGGTTCTTCCTTATATTCATCATCAAATTCTCAATCAGGTTATCCAGCAAATACAAATCAAGGTTTAATGAATAAAGATATATATAATGCACCGGCCAATACAAATAATAATCAATATGGTCTTAACAGTAATACTTATGGTGGACAAATGGGTGCAAATACAAATCCTCAGCATAATAATTTAAACCCAAATAATCAATATAATGCCAATGCTGGTAGTGCATATAATCAAAATCGAGATTATAATACTAACACCAATAATAATGCTAATACTAATGCATTTTCAAATCCAAATTCACCATATTTTTATAATAATGATGGTCATCGAATGATGACCTCATGTTTTATAATATTTTTTTCATTTATTGCATTTTTGTTCTTCCATATCTAGACGAGTGTATTGTATAGGACAACTTTTTCGACATTGTATACATGCTCATTTTTTCTTTTATGTCTTTGTGTGTTAGCTCAAGATGTTTCTAATAATAGTGAAAATTTTAATATAAATAATTTCTTTTCAATTAAAATATCTTATATATATACATAAATAAATACATAGATTATAATTGTAATGCTACATTAAGTTAAAGTTAAATTTTAATGCATGATTTAATCTACTTATATAAATTCAAGTAGATGCTTATGAATAAGAGAACGAATTTTTCTTTTTATATAGAATTGAAATGATGAACTTTTCAAGTAGTTATCAAATCATGAAAGAAATGATCTTATTAGTGAAGAACATTTCCTCATAAGTAGTTTGTATTCGAATGGTTAATGTCCATATGCGACCTTGAAAAATGAAGGTAATTCTAGTTACTAAGATCCATTAAATACAAATATTATTTTTTCCATAATGTGGCCTTTATAGTTATACCATGGTTATATAAATATGCACTGTCAAAATCTTGTATACGGCTGATTGTTTATGAAATTGAAAGTGTTGTGACGGGAAAATACGACTAAAGCTCTCAGGAAGTATATAACGACAAAATTGTATGAAATCTTTTTCGACTGAAGAGAATCTTTTGTTGAATATCTATAGAAATTTATAAAATAAATATTTACTATCAATAAATAAATGTCCACAAATAATCTCTAAGAAGTTTTTATTTTTTACTTTCAAAGTTAAAAAGTGCATATATTTTTCGTACCCTTATTGAAATGATTGCATTTTCAAAATTACAATTTCAGCTTAAGTTGCTTTTTTGAAATTATTTGATACATATAATAAATGCATACTTCTAAGGATTATGAGTTATACTTATACAAAACATTCAAAACTAATCAAGATCATTAAATCAGTAACATAATTCATTTTCAAATAATTATAAATGTAAATATTTTATTCGAATTACAATTCAATTTTCAATCAAGAAATATCTATCTATTAGAAATAGAAATATGATGGATTGAGCTTGTTTTTTCTTGTTTTCTGAACTGTATAAATAGAACGATAGAATCTTTGTGTAATTATATTGATATGTTTTCTTATATACTTCTATAGCATTTGTTAACTATGACATAATTACTCTTAACAACAGTACTTGCTGTGTAATTGAAAACTATACAGGTCTTAAATTAATGAAATTATTCTTTGTTTATATTAGTTTTGTCAAACTCGAAAAGATGAATGGATTGAAGGTGTGGGTGCATGTATCTTTTTCATTCACACCCACACCCACCCTCAAGTTGTTAGCTACCCAATCACTGTTTTATTTTGCTGATGTTACTATATACATACAAAAGTTTTTTTTGCCATTTTGTATTTTTTACAACCCATCGAAAGTAAGTAATATAAGAGAATTGTTATTTTCTCGCCAGATTGATACTTCCTAAACAGTTATGTGCGAGTAATGACTAACTTTGATAAATCCATGTCTCATTAATACAACTTGTTATTTAGCCCTTTTGCCTTTTGAGGGTGAGTTGGTGTGGATATAGCTGAAGACAATATGAACTTATGCTCAGACTCAGAATCATACCCAGATCTAGATTCAGATTCAGACCCAGATCTAGATCCAGACCCGAATCCAGATCTAGATTCAGACCCAGATCCAGATTCATACCCAACCCTAGATTCACACCCACACTCACATTCATACCCAGGCCCAGACCCTAGTTAAAAAATAAATAGATACAGAAATAATACATACACAAGCGCTGAAAAAGGAAAAAACCAACTATTATAGAGTGCCTTCTAATCTGTCTTTTAGGTTATTCTTCTGAAAGGGCGTCTTTTATTGCGTCACTGTCTGTAATCTTATCAGATAGAAAAGAAAATCTTGAAAAAACTTCGTTTTTTTCCCAAGAAGAAAAGTAATCATATAGTAAACAAAACTGTTATTATCTCTAGTTAAATATAATCGAAGAAAAATAATTCATATACCATCTAAATCATCGAGAATCCTGTAGATGGATAATATAATGTCACATTAGCATTACTTTTCTCAGTAGTTTGCCACTTTTTTTATTCTTTCATTAATTAGTTACTTTTAAATACTGACTTATATGTCTTATTATTCTCAAGTCAAAAAACAAATGATAAATAAAAACAACTTCTCATCAAATAAAAACTCATTTTAAAATGGAATAACATAATTTTATAAATATACGGTTGTTCAAATTCAATTTTATCATATATAATTATTCATATCTTTGGCATGTCTGATAGATTTTTTTACTTTCATTCGATTTCATAGTCAACCAATACAAAATATTGGAAAGAAATGCATCTATGACAGTTTACAAAGGAGAATCTTTCACCTGCTAACAAAGTATCTCAGGTTGAGTAAGTCTTTTATTTTTATTATTAGTCATACTACCTTCTGACGTCATTTTCTTCACATTTGCATCATATCATATATATATATATATATATAGTGTATATAAAGAGAATATATAAAGGATTGTAGATATTTGTCGATGATTAAGATAAACTGCTGTATATAACATTTCATTATCATTGATATATTGTTGTTCACTTTGCCGTTTACTAAACAAAGAACAAAACAATGAATATGCATTTTATTATATATTTGACTCTCATTTTGGGTGTGGAGAGTTTTTGGTTTTGAAACAGTCCAGAAGAACAAATCATAATTCCCAAGATAGAAACAATAAAAGTTAACAACGACTTGGGACCAGTTATCGGTATTGATCTTGGAACAACATATTCCTGCGTAGCTGTTTTCAATTCTTCTCGTGTTCAAGTTATTGAAAATGATAACGGTAATCGAATAACACCATCTTATGTTGCCTTTACATTGACTGGTGAACGACTCATTGGTGATGCTGCTAAAAATCTACTTTCATCGAATCCTCAAAGTAGGTTGAATTTATTTATTCATTCAGGATTATATTCACTTTTCATTCTACAATTCTAGATACAATATTTCATATAAAACGATTAATGGGTCGTGAATTTGATGATCCATCGATACAAGAAGATATAAAACATTTTCCATTTTCCATTTTCCGTTTTTCGAAAGGATGATAAACCGGTTATTCGAGTACGAACATCTTCTGTTAATAAATTCTTTACACCGGAAGAAATTTCGGCAATGATATTGGGCAAAATGCGTGAGATCGCCGTAAGTTCTCATTATCATTATGTTAGATAAAAATAATAACATTTTTTAAATTCTCGTAGGAAACATACCTTGGACAGGAAGTGAAAAATGCTGTGGTCACTGTACCTGCTTATTTCAATGATGCTCAACGACAAGCAACAAAAGATGCTGGCACAATTGCTGGTTTGAATGTCATACGAGTTATTAACGAACCAACAGCCGCAGCGATTGCTTATGGTTCAGATAAATTGGAAGGAAAAAGAGAATTGGAAAATATTCTTGTCTATGATTTGGGTGGTGGAACATTTGATGTTTCAATTGTAAAACGTGGATATCGTTCATATCGAGTACTTGCTACCAATGGTGATACACATTTAGGTGATAATCTTTTTATTCTTTTGCTTTTTAAGAAAAATAAATTTTTTTTAACTATAGGTGGCGTAGATTTCGATCTTCGTGTTATGAATCATTTCATTAAATTATTTAAAAAGCAAAATGGAAAAGATGTACGAGGAGATACTCGTGCTTTACAAAAACTTCGTCGTGAGGTGGAAAAAGCCAAGCGAATATTATCCACAGAAATGGAAACAAAACTTGAAATTGAATCATTTTTTGACAACGAAGATTTCAAAGCAACATTAACACGTGATAAATTTGAAGAGCTCAATATGGATCTATTTCGTTTGACATTAAAACCTATTGAACAAGTTCTAAAAGATGCAGATTTAACAAATACTGATATCGATAAAATAATTCTCGTCGGTGGATCGACGAGAATACCTGCTATTCGACAAATTATTAAAGAATATTTCAATGGAACAGAACCATCACATAATATTAATCCAGATGAAGTTGTTGGTAAGCTGAAGATGTACAAAGAGAAAAAATATCATCTTTTCTATTATAGCATCTGGTGCAGCGATACTAGGAGCGATTTTATCGAATGAAGAAATCTATCGTGATACAGAATTATTGGATGTATGTCCATTGACAATGGGTATTGAGATAAAGGGGGATGTTATGTCCGAAATGATTCCACGAAATACTGTTATTCCTGTAAAGAAGACGGATACATATACAACAACGATCGATAATCAAACTACAGTGGCGATTCGAGTATTCGAAGGCGAACGATCGACAATAAAAGATAATCATTTTTTGGGCAAATTTGAGTTAACTGATATTCCACCTGCACTAAAAGGTGTACCCGTCATTGAAGTGACATTTGCCATTGATGTCAATGGTATTCTTGAGGTAAGACTATGAAATAAATTGAAAAAAAATAATACAATAATATATCTTTAGGTTACGGCTGAAGTCAAGGGCACGGATATCAAGAAAAATATTGTTATTAATACGGTTACAAATCATCTATCACCTCAAGAGATTGCTCGGATGGTAAAAGATGCAGAGAAGTTTGCAGAACAGGACAAACAATTTAAAGATCAAGTAAACGCAAGAAATGACCTTGAGTCGTAAGTATCGTTTTCAAAAAATCAAAGTCACTTTTGTACTACTTTTTTAATAGATATATCTATTCATTAAAACGAAAAATAGCATCTGAAAATTTATCATTAGAAGATCAGACGACGATTGAAAATATTATTGCAAAACAAATTGCATGGCTTGAATTAAATCCAAATGCTAAAATTGATCAACTTACAACACAAAAACAACAACTTCAAAGTGTCGCTACATCAATCTTAGACAAATTATCAAACGAAAATGACGATGCAAAAGACCCGTCACATCAACATACAGATGATTTATAAGAAGATACCGATTTTGTTTTTGTTCTTATAGCAAATTCTTAGATCTTCGTTTAAATTAAGAAAAATAAAGCATAAAATAACATTTTTTTTCTTATTTCAGATTTTACCACGTGTTAGATGAATAATATCTCTGTTGTAGAAAGAAAAAAAAATGTCTATCGTCAATAAATTTGTCATACTCGTGCTGATATGGTTTTTTACAACACATAGGTATGTTTTACTACTGTGATAAGAGCACAAAATTTTTCAACATTTATTATAATATAAAATCATCCTTTTTCTATTTATATTCAGTGTACAAAGTGCTCGACGGTCAATCTCGAGTTCATCTACTATCAATGACAATCGTTTTTCATTACTCTGGATTGATGATAATGACAGAGAATTTACTGATGATAATTATGAAACACAGCGGCTATTGCGTCAGCATTTACCCTCGATCGAGCTCGAATCAGATATTAGTGATGCTATCTTATTTATTAATCGTGTTAAATATACTGATAAAATCCTTATAATTGTCGTTTCTGGTCAAAAGGCATCACTTTTATTTCAATATTTGACTTACTATGATTTGAATGAGGAAGTCACAGCTTTATATATCTTTTGCAACAATCCAGATACTTATCAAACTTTGAAACATGATCGACTGTTTGGTATTCTCAATGATCCGAAGCTTCTTGTTGCATCGATTCGTATACTCATGTACAATTCATTACATGAGAGTGTCAAAACTTCCACAAATCTTCTTGATCAAGAACAAACATGGGCACGAATAATTCCTGCAGTGACGACAAAACAAATCTGGTACGATCTTTACCTTGAAAATCTCAAAGTTTTACCTAGAGATGATCAAGCGAAAGAAGAAATGCTAGAAAAAAGTAAAGAATACTATGCTGATGACACTGTAGAATTACTTCAGATTATTCTTTTTCGCTACAACTATACTACTACAACAGCCATCGAATGGTATACTGATGATTCTTTTGTTCATAAGCTGGTTAATAAAGCATTACGTAGTGAGAATATCGAACTTCTTTTTGCCTTTCGTTTTTTCATTGGCGACTTGAGTACTGCAATCAAACAAGAACATGTAAATCAACAAAAAATACCCGGAACTATCGCTTCAAATTCTAGAACTGGTTCAAGTTCAGTCATTAAATTATTTAGTGGACAGGTACTACCACGAATGGAACTAGAAAGATTAGAAGAGAACTTAGGCACTGTGATTGCCATTAATAGTTTCTTCTCGACTTCAATTAAACTGAATGAAGCACGAGCATTTGCTGATCGTGGTGTATTAAATGCCAATATGGGAAAAGTACTCATTGAAATTTTACTGGATACTTCATTGCAAAATATCACCGCATATGCGCAAACCAACAACCGCACACAATTTCTTACTGAAGAAGAAATCGTCTTTGACTGTGGTGCTCTTTTTAATGTTACTTCTGTCGAATATGATCCGTTTACAAACATTTGGAACATCGAAATGACAGCTGTATCAAAAACATCTATCAACGAACATCCGTACCTTACTACTATCCGAGAAATTTTCATTCAGAATCATTCAGACGTTGTCACATATGGTATCATAATGGAGCACGGTTTTGACAAGAAAGATGAAGCAATTCAGTATTTTAATCGATTACTTTCGAATTATTGGTTTCATTATGAAGATATTCCAGATATTTTGCAACAAAGAGGTATCTTATATGAAAAGAATGGCGAATCTGCTTTAGCTGTCCATGATTATGAGCTGGCGCTTGAATTTCATCGTTTGAGAGTTCCTAAAAACTTGCCAGTAATGGCCTCACTTTACAGTCAGATTGGCATCATTCAAATGACAACATCTGACTATCAAACTAGTCTCAACAGTTATCAACAAGCAATGGACATTTATGACCAGTTATATACGAAAGACCATGATCATGTGGATAAGGTAAAAGTGAATGTAAATATTGGTTTAACTTATCTACATGCTGGTAACGCATCTGAAGCCCTGAAATATCTAATATATGCTCAAACAACTTATAAACGAGTTTTACCTGAAAAACATCTCTTTGCAGTTGAGCTTTTAGGACATCTTGGAACTGTTTATGAAACTACAGGTAATTTTATTTTGGCAATGGAATTGTTTTATCAACAGTTACGTCAAAGTGAAGAAATCTTGCCGTTAGATCATCCACAGCTAATTACACCTCTTGGTGCCATTATGCGTGTCCAAACGAAGATGAATCAAACATCAAACATCAGTGCACTACTTAATGAATATCAGCAGAAACTCAGCAAAACACTGGACTACCATCATCCATCTCTTGTGCATATTATTACTATGACCGCTTCTCTTCTCGAATCATCAGAACCTGTTGAAGCTATTCGCCTGTATGATCAAGTGTTTGAAATTAGTCAAAAGTCAAAACAATCAAATTATTCTTTAACGTTAAAATTACACAGAAAGTTGGCAGAATTAAACAAAAAAATCGGCAATCTAATAGAAGCTCTTGATCATGCGCTTCAAGCTCTCAAAATTCAACAACAATTCTCGCTTGAGCAAGGAAATCGATTACTCGAAGCAGACGATCTACATACGATCGGATCGATTTACTTGAAAATGAACTTATTTATCGATGCACTTCAATATTTAATTAAATCTCTAACTATCTACCAAGCAGTCTATGCGTCAGATCATCCTAGTATACAAGCGGTTCTCATTAATATCGCTCAAGCAGCCAATCAAAGTCGATCCAATCAATAACAATAATCTTTCAACTGTACTTTCAAAAACTTCTTGCATCTATGGACATAGTAATGAGAAGATATGTTTTTTATTGTAACTTTTAGTAGTTTTTAAAACTGCATTTGTTTTAGTCTTTTGTCATTATATTCTTCTCTCATTCAGAATGAAGCTGTAAACTTGGTAGTCATTCTGTTTGTAACAAATATAAAACGCAGATCCACGTTCATCAACGTTCATATATATATTCTATTTTTTTTTTTGAATACTAAGATGAATTGACAATCGAAATATGCATTACTACAATTTATTTTCTGCAGTTACACTAATAAATTTTTGTTTAGATTTTGTTGTTCTTGATGTGGCTATAAATAGTTCATATAATAAGATGATGAAGTGGATGAGAAGATGTCACTAGACTATGACGTAATAGGATGATGCAATGACAATAAGTATGAAGAGAAAAAAAAGAAATCGAAATGGATTATCAGTGAATCATGATCACTCTGTGACAGATCGAATATTCGAAATTGTTTCGATGAGAGTGAATTATTTTCAATCAACATTTCATTTGTTTAAAATCAAGTTTAAATAATTCTATCAAAAAAAGAATACTGTTATCGTTTTAGATGATTCTTTATATACGATTCTTCTCTCGTCGTTTTCAATCTACTATAATTGATTTAGGCTCTCAAATGAAAAGACTCAATGACAATCAACAATACCGAGAGACTATCATCTTATATAAAGATCAAATTAAAAAACAAAAGAAACAAAGTACTAGTTTAATTATCAATCAAGTATTAAAAGCTTGTATTGAACTTGATGATATTAAATGTGGCAAAGATATTCACAAAAATCTTTCTTCTTATATGCTTAACAATCAATTTATTGAAAATAATTTAATTCGTTTATATAGTAATATTATTTCAATTGAATTATTTCATAGAAATATTTTCTTCTAGTGAAATGTGGTGATTATGAAAAAAGTAAACAAATCTTTTTGAACAGTAAAAATAAAACAACACCAATGTTTAATAACATTCTCAACGGTTAGATGTTTTTCATTTTTATATTAATACTTACTTCTATTTCATTTAGGTCTTGTTGATAATAATCAATGTAACGAAGCATTGAATCTTTTTAAAGACAATAATATTCCAACAAATGAATATACATTTTCTATTTTATTTAAAATCTGTTCACAGATCAATGATAGATATTCATTACAATTTGGAAAAGAAGCATTTAATCAAATGCCTAAAAATTATTACAACAGTATCGTGGCTATAACTTCTGCTTTACATATGTTTACCAAATGTGGGGATATTTCTAAAGCTGAACAATTATTTAATCAAATAAAGAAAAAAAATTTAATTGTTTATGGTGCAATGATGAACGGTAAGCAAACATTTTTTTATATCTTACAATGAAGATATTTGTAATCTCTTTTAGGTTATCTTGAAAACAACATGGAACAACGAGCTGTTGATCTTTTCTTTCAAATCGAAAAACCAAATGAAATTATTTTGAATATATTTTTTAACGCTTGTGCTCAATTAAAAACTAAAAATGCATTAAATTTAGCTAAGAACGTTTTCGATCAATCAATTATTAAATCAAATGATTTATTATTATGTTCAGTTTTAAATATGTTTATTAAATGCGATGACCTTGAAAATGCTCAAATTTTATTTAATCGAATTGATCGAGATATAATTGCTTATGGGTCAATGATGAAATTTTATAATATTAAAAATCAACCATTAAAAACTTTAGAATTATATCAAAAATTAAAAGACGAAAATTTCAAACCAGATAAAATTATATTGAATTTATTTTTCAATGCTTGTGCTCAATTAAAAACTAAAAATGCATTGAATTTGGCTAAAAATGTTTTCGACCAATTCGTTATTAAATCAAATGATTTATTATATTCAATTTTAAATATGTTTATTAAGTGTGATGATCTCGAAAATGCTGAAATTTTATTTGATCGAATTGATCGAGATATAATTGCTTATGGATCGATGATGAAATTTTATAATATTAAAAATCAACCGTTGAAAACTTTAGAATTATACCAAAAATTAAAAGAAGAAAATTTAAAGCCAACTGAAATTACTTTTGTTTTACTTATTGATGCATGTTCAGAAATTGGTGATCTTTCATTATCTGAATCATTGGTTTGTCAAATTCCAGAAAGTTTTTTATCAAATCTATATATTCGAAATGCATTGATTGATTTATTCGTAAATTTTCTTCAAAGATCGATTAATTAATATAGGATTTTATTAGGGAAAAGTTGGTTTACCTTCAAAAAGTAAAGAAATATTTGATATGATTGAACATCCAGACAATGTTTCTTTTGCAGCTATGAGTAAGTAATAATTTCTAATCAAATTGATTTTATTTCTATTTTTAGTCAATGCTTATGGTTTAAATGGAATGGGTATTGAAGCTATAAAAATCTTTCATAACATTCCATCAAATATGTTAAATAATGCTATTTATGTTTGTGTATTAAATGCTTGTTCTCATTCAGCTCTTGTTAATCAAGCACAAGAGATCTTTCAAAATATTCCATCAGATCAAAGAACAGAACAAATTTATACAACAATGGTCAATAATCCTTTAGGAATTTAAATTATAAAATAGTAACTTTATTTTAATGTAGGTTGATTCATTTAGTCGTGTTTTTCTTTTTGATCAAGCACAAAAATTAATTGATGAATATGAAAAATATCATTCACCTTCTGCTCCAATGTATAGTAAGTTGATTCACTATTAAATTCGTTTTATATATATTTCGAATAAATAAAGTGTCAATACTTTCATCTGCACGAAATGCCAAGAATATATTATTAGCAGAAAAGATTTTTCATCGTATTGAATTGAATTTTGCCAATAATGAAAGTTATCTTATGTCGGCTCAGGTTCTTCTTGCTAATACATATGCTTTAATTGGAGAAAAATTTATGTCTTCATATATTCGAATGAAAATAAAGCCATCAAATACAAAAAATACTGTTGGTTGTTCTTGGACTGTAGTTGATGGAAAAGTTTATGTAAGTTAAACAAATTTTAAAGAGAATTTTATTTGATCTTTTTCTTTGAACAGAAATTTCGAGCTCATGATCGATCACATTCACGTTCTTCGGAAATTTATGAAGAATTAGATCGATTAACAAAGAACTTAATTGAACATGGTTATAAATATGATGAATCATGGATAACAAGAGAATTAGATGAGAATGAAACTACTCAATCAGTTCTATGTGGACATAGTGAACGGCTCGCAATTGCTTTTAATTTAATTCAACAACCAATTCCTGACCGAATCCAAATTGTAAAAAATCTTCGTGTTTGTGGCGATTGTCGTGAGTTGAAAAATTATTTTATTTACTAAAATACAATTCTTCTAATTTTAGATTTAGTGATAAAATTAATTGCTCAAATCTATCAACGTTTGATAGTTGTTCGTGATGTTAATCGTATTCATCATTTTTATCCAAATGGAAAATGTTCTTGTCAGGATCGTTTTTAAGATACTCGAAAAGTTGTTCAGATCATGTTAAAGTTAGATAGAATATTATTTAAAAGTCTTCAAATATATTTTCTACATTATCATATCAAAGAAGAAGTTTTATACGTCACAACTAATCGTCAAATATTCATTCAGATTGTTGATACTTACTTAACGTACAAAATTTTCACTTGTAAATGCTCATATTCTGTTTTTCTAGTCTACAGCCATAATAACTAGAGAATTGAGTATTCGAAATTGTTGAAATTAAAGAAATTATTTATTTGAAACAACGAAGTTCATTGTTGAGGCTGAGTTGATTTTTTTAGTGTGAATCACTTTTTCTTAGATTATTTCTAATCTCTCTTTGATGTGGTTTATTTCAAAATTCCAATCGACATCTTTAATTATAATTCTGTCGAATGGTCAAATGGTTAAACAAATCATGTGCTATAATTTATTCTTTTCTCTCGAAAGAGTGTTAGAAAAGAAGAATAAGAAGGATATTTTCTAAAGTGTAGAAGAGATGCAGGTACATCTGACCTTTTCTCGAAATATCACATATGATTTGCTGATCGAAAGAATTTTTATCTCTTATGGATTTTTCTTTTAATTTTAATTTAGTGTGAAAAAGAAGAATGCCCAATAGGAAACTAATTGAAAATCCGATTTGGAATGCTCGAACAGTTGGTATTGTTCCCCATGATAATATATATTATAGTAAATGTCTTATGGGAGGTGCTCTCGCTTGTGGTTTAACACATCTTGGAATAACACCATTGGATGTTGTCAAATGTAATATGCAGGTCTCGTTTACATTGGTTTTTTTTAGAAATTTTTAAACTTAAGAAAATAACTATCGAAGTAAAGATGTTTTTTCTTTGTTTCAAACAAATCCATTCGATATTATCTATTGAGATTGATACATATTCTATAATATTACATGGCTGTCATATACTCTAGAATACCATCTTCATAATCTATTTCAAAATCAATGACTTTACTCTTCGTATATCTGAACTATTTTATTATTAACTAAAACAGTTTCGTTAATTAAGACGAATGAAATAGTATTTGTTTGCATGCATCAAAGATTCATAGCTGTGATAATCTGTCTTTTTGCTCTCGTCAAATGATCATTTTTGTATATTAAGAATAATTCGTTTCTCCCCCGTTAGTATGACAATTGTCAATATTGAACAGAAATCATAAAAAAAACAAATTTAGAAGATTCGATAGAAATGTTTTATCTATAATAACATCTTTAATTATAAGATATTTCTTTTAGGTAAATCCAACAAAATATACACATTTGATAAGTGGACTTCGAAGAATAACTGCTGAAGAAAGTTTCCGAGCAATATGGAAAGGATGGGCACCAACACTTTTAGGTTATATACCTCAAGGTGCTCTTAAATATGGTCTTTATGAAGTATTTAAAGATTTATATTCAAATATGGCTGGAGAAAAATATGCTCAACAATATAAAGGATGGATATGGTGTGCAGGTGCAGCATCAGCT